TAAGAAATTTAATTATCAGTAGCCGAATTTTATTGAAAGTGTTATTTGATACATTTACAACAGCGGGGATAGGATAATGATAATAATTTATTGACACAAAGGTGTTTACACAGTATAGAAATGCTAAGAGAATGTTTAGTGACAATAATAATAATAATTATCACAATATGGGCCATGCATTTATTAAGGGTCGCCGGTTTATTTGCAAAACCTGTAGCACCATCTACCCGTAGTTCCATTAATTTAAGCAAGCATGCCACCCATCCAGATGTCGCCGTTTGCCGATGTCATATATGTTGAGAATAATCACAAAATAAGAAATTAAGATTAGTTGTATTTGGGTGTCTGAAAGGGTTGAAAGATTGACAAAGGTAGTTGCTAGGGAGTTGTCATTGTGTTTTAGAACTAATATAAGCTCACTGGGGAAGTGCAGTAGTTTTTCTTTTAGAAACAATAAAAGTAAATGTCCCGACAATATATGCAGCTGCTCACGCGAAGTGTCGCTTGGTTTGTTTTCGAGTTGGTGATATTTTCTCCACTTTTTTGAACTATTATTTTATAATTTATCTTATGGCAAATGAACTGGACAATCTACGATGTATAAAATGTCTTATAGATCAATATGATTATAGGATTTGGGAGTCTATAAATACACTAACTTCTAAAAATTTGAATATTACCTCCCCCACCCCCTAAAACCGTCAATAAACTAGATTACCCTAAAGCTATGTTTAGATCAGTACTATTTATCTTCATCTTTTGCATTTCTAACCATCATGACCTTGAGTTGTCCTTGTAAAAGTAAAAAGAAACCACAATTTTCCCATTAACTTCTGAAGCTAACTGACCTATTTGAGTAAATTTCCTTGGATTCTCAGTGTTAACGTATAAAAGTAAACTTGCCAATAAATTAACCAAACAAATCCAAAATATGGTTTCGATCTGTCGACGACACTTTTGTAATATGGAGCCACGGACCTGAGCAACTTAACGAATTCCTCGCTCATCAATAACACGCATAACAACATCAAATTCACCATGGAGCTAGGGAACAACGGAAAACTGGCTTTCTTGAACGTATTACTAACCCGCCGAGGGAGACGACTGGGACATACGGGATATAGAAAACCAACGCACACAGATCGGTATCTGCATCGAAACTGCAATCACCACCCTTGTCAGAAATATGACATCATTAAAACGCTGACAGAAAGAGAAAGGAGAATATGTGAATTGGCTTTAGAACCAGAAGATCAGCTGAATGGCCAATGGATATTCAGAGCCGAAACTTAAAAAATTCATGACATCAAGTAATTCCAGATCCAAAGATAACAACCAACCAGTGGCCAGAACATTTTTGCCATATATTCCCACAGTCACAGACTGAATTGGGCGTCTGCTTCTCAAGATGAACGTCAAAACAATATTCAGCCCAACGACAAAAATTAGTGAAAGTCTTAGATCGGCAAAAGATAAAAGAGACCATCTGTGGTCTTCGGGACTCTATCGCATACTTTGTATTTGTGGAAGTGTGTACATCGGAACAACAAAAAGATTAATCAATACCAAAATTAAAGGGCATAAACCGAACTGCCGTCTACACTAACCAAGACGGACCACCGTATTAAATTTGAAGGATCCCAGGTCATTGTTAACACACCAGCATACCATGCTAGATTATTCAGGGAAGCTATGGAGATACACAAACACACAAATAACTTCAACAAAACAAGAGAAACACTGAAAGTACACAAGTACAATGTGAGAAATATTGTTAGAAGATATAACGATATAATTGATTCAGTTAATATTAAGACACTATATGTGAAAAAAAGTAATATCACAAATGCCGACCGAAGAGCATTAAGAAGAATAATCGTGAAAAACAGGCGTGCCAATTATTTACAATTAAGTGCTCTGTGGAGTGACGCTGTTGGAAGGAGAATTTCGAGGTCCACAACTCATAAAGAGGGCCACAAACTGGGATTTAGCACTTGCAAGGTAAGTTTTCTTATAAAAAAAAGTGAATTAAAAACCCTAAAGTTGCACAACTTGTTTATAGGCCAAAGAAAGGCCACTATTAACTCCACTGCAAAAGAAAATCGGCTTAGATGGGCTAAAGAACATTGACAATGGACACCTCAACAATGGTGTGCAATACAATGGATTGTTGAGGCCCGATTCGAAGTTTGTGTTGGTGACAGTCGCAGTAGAGTTATTCGCAACAAAAATGAAGCATTACATGTTGACTGTCTGAAGAGAAAAGTGAAATTTCCAGCATCCATTATGTTCTGGGGCAGTATGTCATCAAAAGGAGTAGGAAAACTTCATTTTATTGACGGAAATGTGGAAAAAAACAAATATTTGGCAATTTTAGAAGAATCGCTTTTACCAGTGATGGAAGAATGTTCGACATTCGGCCAAGATTTTGTGTTTCAGCAAGATGGTGCAGCGTGCCATACCTCAAAAAAAGGCTATGAGATGGATGGAAGAAAATAATGTACCGCTTTTGAAATGGGTTTCTGGCAGTGCAGAGCTGTCACCTATTGAAACTTTGTGGCAGGAAATGAAAAAGGTTCTACGACAACATCCTGCTCGTACAATCACAGAACTGAAACAAAAGCTTCAAGAAATATTGGATTGTTTTACACCAAATTTTTGCCAAGACTTGGTTAACACTATGTCCCAAAGAATTTCAAGTGTTTTCAAATATGTATTTTTTACGAGCAGAGTCTATCTAAAATGTTTTTGAGAAAATAAATTGTTTTAGAAGTAAATAGTTTCATCATGTTTAGTTTATAAAGGCATTTTTTGGTACAAATCTTGAAGTGGGCCAACTGAAGTTGGAAGCGGCTCGTATAGTGAGCAGAGTACTCTAATATGTACCACAGTATGATGAAAAAGGAATAATAATAATACTCTTCTCACCAATTTGGGTAGGAAGCCTAACCGAGTCGGGAGATTTCTTCCACGAACGCCAAGATGCTGCCTCGTCTTATAATAAAGAACGCCGCCACACAGTGTAGTTCCTTGAACAATGTAAGCCAACTTCATGGCTTTTACACCAACGCGATCGGGTCATCTGTTTCCTCCCATAATTCAAGTATCGCCCGGCCACTCGGGTCGATTATTTTTCTTGCGGATGCAGTAGCAGAGCGCACCAGCCAGAGGGATTTTTATGAAAAATTTCATCGCTTTGAGCCCGACAGCGGCACGAAGTGATTTATAGGAACGATTGGGAGTTGAACGAGGACTCCTGCAAGCGTGTACCCGGTTGGATTACAAGCGTTTATCCAGGTTGACGACAAACGTCAATAAAATGTATACATGGTCTCATAGGCGATACAGATTCTTCTTCTGGGAATATTTTTAGAGTATTCATATGGGAACTCAGGGCAGACAATGGAAATCATGTGTATAATGACAATTACATGATCAAACGAACTTTCCTTACCTACTTAATTGTGTGAAGTCCTTGTCGAAGTAAATATTTAGAATACATATCGTAGTACCCTCATAGTAGTACCTACCCAACTTCCACGATGTCAAAGCGCGGACGCAGAGACGGAAAGCGGCACCTCGCCCCTTGCCCTACCCTTCTCCCCTCTGTCCACCTATAAACCTTCATTCCTTGATTAACATTACATTTTGCTTAGGTGGCAATCGATCAGCAGGGCGCTCTGGATTGTGTTGTCTTAAAGGCCATGTAGACTGTTTCAATAAATGACGCATCAAATGATGCGGCGACCTTAGTATAATTAATGTTTGCGCGTTGTTCCAAGGCTGACGTTTCGAGGGCAGATCTTGTTGATGACGATATATCAATAAATTCTGTTCCATTCTAGCCACCTAAGGTGGACCCTGAGGTAACGGAAGCCATAATAGAAATTGTCGCACGCGGGGATGCATACTCGGACTGTCTACGTCAACATGTGAGCTGTTCATTAACTGCAAATGGCAATACTCTATCGTCTAGGTTCAAAGAAGGGAGAGGAGTGCGTGCTGGCAGATATTGTATATTATATGCGATGTACCTCAAAGTACAGTTTTGGGTCGTTTGTTATTTAACAGAGGGAGCTGTCGTTTATTTTGCTGATGGCGCCGCTAATTTTTATTCAGATGAATCGTCGTGGTATAACCTTAAGGAGAAGGTAGAAAAGGATTTCATTACAATCTCTGATTGGCTCAACCATATTTGCCTCACTATAAATTAAATTAAATATTAAATTGAATTTCGGTGGATAGAAGTGTATGCCTGCGTTACTGTCATTAACCTTGTGATTTAAATGGAATACTAACAACCAGAGAACTGACATCGTATTTTTGTTTCAGGTAAGCGCCGTATTTGGATCACATGGCTTAGCTGTGGAAAGGTAGGAATTGCTTTTGAGTACGTTGAATATGCAATAGGGGTTAACTTCGGTCGAACATTTGTAATTTTAATTTTTGGCCAAAGCAACATCCGAATAAATGATTTGAGAGAGAGAAGAAGAGAACAAATTTTAGGGTATGAAATTCATTTTAAGTATTCTTTTATCAGTACCTTAAGCTGGCGGTTTTTTCACTTCAGTCGGTTTTTGAGGAAATTGCTTTAGGAAAAGTGGAGAATATAGGAAAAACTACTACATATAAGATATTTGTATTCACGAGGACTGTTCAATTAAATTGGCTGGAATAGGTTATAGGTTAGCGATTGACTCAGTGTAGCGGATGATAATTAAACTTATTCTTATATCCTAGAAGGTCATATAACCTTGTACCTATGGATTATTTACTGTGTAAACACGAAACCATTAGTAGAACAGTGGGAGGTTTGTCGTTTTACTATGACATTGTTCGTGCTATATACAACTAGTACTGGTGCATATAAAATGATCCATCAAATGTCATACAGTATGTCACAATCAGTATTACTCATACATAGATACAACGAGTACAAATGGGGACAATGGACTGATAAATCCTGCCTAACGGAAATATCCGACTTGTAACTTGATTACCTATTCTTTTATTAGCCAAACGACACAAACCAATTATCGTTTGGACCAATAGCACCATTAATCAGGAATCTAACCAGAAATCACTGAGCCGATCCTGCCATTTACACTCTCTAATGTGTAATACTCCTAACATACTGTACAGCGTGACACAGAAGTCCAGGAACGGCTCTGTATTTTCTTGGAGACCAAGATCAGGATGTTAGTAACTTTCAGAAAGAATTCAGCGGTAACCTTGAATTTAACATTGACGTCCACCTTCAAGGTTAATTTACGGTCAACTTCCGATTCCCCGGATTGTCGGTATCAAATATGTATTTAGGAAAAAAATTGACCTTGAAATGATCTTGAAGGTGAGATTCAAGGTCAAATTCAAGACTGCTCGTCAAAAATTACCAAACACCTGACCTTGATAGCTTTTTAAATTCATAGTCGTTTTCCTTGCAGCACACCACCATGACCTTGGTCTTCAATTCGTATTTCACCGTAACATTTTCCGCTCTTCCAACTGCCGGCATCAAAAATTGTGATTTCCATTAAAAACGAAGTTAACATTGTAATGACCTTGAGGATTAAGGTCAACTACAAGATCACCGTTCGCTCGCTCGTTAAAATTTACCAAAGACCTGACCTTGATACGTGTTTTCATTACTACCTGTGAGATCTATAGGGGCTTTCCTAACAGCACACATTTGACCTTTAGATGACACACTGACCTTGCATATCAATTAGTATTTGAACGTAAAATTTTCCGCTCTCTCGGTTGCAGGCATCAGAAATGGAGATCTTAAATAAAAAAATAAAGTTGACTTTAAAATAATCTTAAAGGTATAAAGGTGAAATCCAAGGTCAGCTTCACATCCTTGCTAAAATTTACCAAATACATGATCTTGATAGTTAGTTTCATCACTCATCCTGTGAAAATATAACGTTCACCTTGAAATAATACTGAAGGTCAAGGTCACCCCTGAGTTCCACGCTGGAAGTTACTAGAGGTTTGACCTTTATCTTTTTCAAAAATACCTTGCCCGAGAAAATACAGAGATGTTCCGGGACTTTTGTCACGCTGTATATGTATGATTGTTATCATGTAGGCTGTGTTCTTTCCATGAAGCTAGCGAACACACGAGGTATGTCAATGTATGACAAAAATGAGAGTTCTATTTTTGAACTCCACTTGTATTACACCTACACAAAAATAAATTACGATAGCTATAGTCCCACAGGTTGAACGTTTCCGTATGGTGTGCGTGACTTTACTTGCGGGTTTGTATTTAAACAAATTACCTTGCAATGACCTTGAAGGTGAAGTTCAAGGTCAAATATAAGATCACTCGTCAAAATTGATCGTTTTTCTAGAAGCACGCATTTGACTTCCATTTTATCTTTAGTGGTCACCATGACCTTGGTCTTCAATTCGTGTTTGAACGTAAAATTTTCCGCTTTTTCGATTGCATCAAAGATTGGGATTTACATTAAAAACCGAGGTTTACCCTGGAATGTCATTGATGGTGAGGAGTAAGGTAAAATTCCAGATCATCGTTGACTTGCTCATTAAAATTTACCAGAGACCTGACCTTGATACTTATTTTCATTAATAATCTACTATTCAATATCCTGTAGTGTGTGCTCCTTCCAAGGAGCTAGCGAATACTCGAGGTATATCAATGTATGACAAAAATGAGACATTTTCTGTTTTTGATCAACACTTGTATTATCCCGACATAAAAATGAATAGCGATAGCTATAAATGAGTCCCAAATCGCAAGTTGAACGTTTCCGTGTGATGGGTGTGACTCCACCTGCTGGCTGTCATGTCGTTCATAACAAAAACCTAAATCATAGCAACCGGGAATGATCGAATTGGTGGTCATCCCAGAAGGCACGTTGCGAAGGGTGAAAAGACAACGTGATGGTAATTCAATACACACTTTTTTACACCTCTTTCGCGCAAATCGCTACACCCATATACCCAAAATCAGTGATGTCATAGTTTCAAATTCCTAAAAGACTTTGAAGGTTGAATAACCTGAATAAAATCTATCACATATACACTTTACCGTTATACTATTCGTTATTGTTCGTCAGAGCGGTCCGGTGGACCTTTGCTCTCAGTCAAAAGTCTCATCGGTCTGTTAGTGTGTCAGGTCTGGCTACCCAGATAACAAACATGTTTAAGGGGAAAAGGGAAAGACGGAAAAAAGGAAGGAAGAAATAGAGCAAAGAAAAGAATTAAATCATTTGAAATAGCTTAAGTATTATTGCTTTGACTACTCGAATAATTTTTTAACTCCAAAAAATAATTTTAATCCGTTTTGTATACTGAAATAGTTTTGGCTGAATTCACAATTTAATTTTGATCACAGTGCGAGGCGCGGCCTGGAATGTTTGCGAACATGCTCGACTGTGTAGTCTACTGAATCACGCAATGTCGCTGTGCCTGTTGTTTTACATAATCCCTTAGATATTGGGATATCAAGATCTCTGTGAATAGTCTCATTTGACACGTACCAAGGGGCGTTAGTGATTGTGCGTAGGATTCTGTTTTGCAGGACTTACAGTCTCTTCATGTGCGTCTTGGCTCAAGAAAAGAGCAAGCGGCGCATGCGTAGGTGATTGCGGGTCTTATAACCATTTTATATAACCGAATCTTGTTGATCAAACTTAATTTTGAATTTCTGCACAACAAGGATAAAGCTGCCGAAGTATTAATTTTGATCAACCACCGATCCGTCCACTCCAATACTTCCTCCACCGCACTCTGCAGCCTGTCGTGAACCAGGTTACCAGAACAGGATAGACTTCATAGTTGCTGGGGCAAGGGACGTCATATATGTATATAAAGTTTATAAAGGATTGGTCCTAAGACCGAACAATGAGGAATACCGGCTCTTACGGTCCGGCCGTGTTGCTGACAACTCATTGTTAATTTTGATCCGAAATTTCCTTCCTTCTAGAAAAGATTTCAACAGTTTTAGAAGCCAAAATGGAAAACCGTTTTGGATGAGCTTATACAAGAGGCCCACGTGCCACACCTTGTCTTTGTGCCTTTGATACATCTAAAAGCAAGATACCAATGCTTTTGTTCAGGGTGAACCCCCTGGTTACATGCTCCACCAGAATAACTGCCTGTAGCCCGTACTATCCTCAGACCGAAAGCCAAATTGCACGTCAGAAATCACATGGTGACCTGACGAGAAGTTCTCAAGGTGACCATATATCACCTTTTCAGCGAGATCAGAAGAAGCTGACAGCAGACTAATGGGACGGTAATCCTGGGTCAATATCGAACCTGCCTTCTTTGGGATCATGATGACTCCAGCGATCTTCCACACCTTAGGAAAGTAATGAGTTCTGAACATTGCATTGATTATTGGCACCAGATAAGTCAAAGCATTGAGCGAAAGCAACTTCAGTGCTTTGTTGGTGATTTGATCCTCTCCAGGTGTTTTACGCACCTTTAGGTCCTTAATGTGGCCTTGGAGCTCTGCTGCTGTGCAAAATAGAATCTCAGTGGTTTCCGTAGATGTAGTATGCTGAGATTCATCTGGAGAGTCCTCCGTAGAAGAATCTTCTGCAAAGGAGTCACCGCTGTTAGCACTGCCGTTGTTGTCGCCATTCGCTCTGAAATATCTCCTGACAGATCTTACAAATTGTCGTTCCTCGTCAAGGTCATTGTCCAGATCCTAAATGGGAGAGAACTGCCTTTCCATGACGTCAGCAAAAACTTCCACCTTATCCTCAGTCCTAAAAACTATCTGAAAACTATACCTCCAGGACCATGAATATGTGGTAGTTGTTCTTGCCTTCCATTTCTGAGCGATCTTACCACTTTCCAGAGATCAATACTTGATTCAAGCATAACCACCAGAAGGTTGCTCCATCGCTCATTATGGAATTCATGGAGTGCACTTCTCACTTCATGGACGAATGTCATCAGGCTGACAAGACCTTTTTGCTTGCTTAATCGCAGCCCTTTCTTCATAAATATTCCGACGGATGTTAGCAGGGAGAACACTTTACCGTTATGCATCCCAATATGAACGTTTAGCACTAAAGACTAAAAACGGATGTTTCCATTATAGCATAGCATATAAGTATAGCTGCTGAGGGTATAATTGTGTCGTTCCAAACAGGCGTAACACATAACCTCCGGTATATCCACTCGTAAACGGTTCACGATAATCTACCCTGCGTCACATCTGTCGCCCGACATAACCACGGACGTTATCCCAAACATTATTACAACTTCCGCTAACCTCGTAACAAACTACTATTGTAGACTAGCACTAACGAACTTGTATAAGCGTATAAACTTCAGCAGCAGAGCCGTTTTTCTGGGAAACACAATTAGCGAATGCTGAGAGCGCCATGGTGGAGTCGGACTGAATCTGGTGGCTATTATTGCCGACTTGCGGGATGCGGCTTACAGGGCGTTTGCATTTTGACTTTTTCCTCTGGGATCTGAAAAACCTGGGGAGCTATAAGGTTTGCTTAATTGGGATTAAGTTATACAATGCTTTTCTTTAATGTCCCCCTCCACTTTGATTTTCTGAACGTATCAATTCAAATTTGAACTTGAGGTAATCAAATTGATGCGTGAATACCATATGTTAGAGTATATTGACAGATGAAAATGTCAAGATGGCCGCTGGGCACCATCATGGAAAAAAATTATATGAAAACGGGGTTTTTGTGGCACACCATTTTGAAGCTCCTGACGAGTACTTTATAACCCTAGAATATAAAATCTATACCTTTACCTATTACAAAATGGTGGTACATTTAATAATTACTTGAACACAAACCCACTAGCATGCATATCTTTATAAATAATTGTAATTCCCTGCCGTATCCACAGCAACAGCGATAAAAACTTGTTTTGTTATTTTTCGTTGACAGTGACAAGAATATCAGTACGAAAACAAACATCATGGTACAGTTAAAATATCCTTATTTAGTTTTCAGTTTTAGTGGTAGATAATGTTTGAACTATTTTTAAGACGGTCAATTCTCGTCCATTGGAAGAAAAAACCGAAGCGATTTTTATTTATGGCGCGA